AAAAAGAAAATGAAAATTAAAAAAAAAAATTTTTTTGAAATGACCTTGACCTTTGAACTTGATTAGATCTTCAAGGTCAAAGGTAAAGGGTCACATTGCAATTGACCCCATGTCTCTACGACTTTTAGTTCTATAGTTATAAGTTTAAATATTAAGTGCAAAGAAGTTAAAGGGCAATAACTCATATAAAGGGTCATTAAATCCTTTAGTACTTATACAATGAAGGTGTGCCTAAAGACCCTTAAGACATTAGTGAAGAGTTCATGCCTCTACGGTCTACAGTTTTGAAGTTGTAGCGATAACAATGTTTTTCGCATAAGGGGCAATAACTTTTGATAGGGTCAATCTTGGGGATCAAGAATGAAATCTTTGAAATAGTTTTAAGAGTACATATTATAGATGCAGAGACTGTTTGCATATGTTAAAAGACAAAAGAGATACAAAAAGAGCTTAATTTCTAATTTTTGGAATGACCTTGACCTTTGATTTTGACAAAATATTCAAGGTCAAAGGTCAAGGGTCACAATGCAATTGACCCCATGCTTCTACCATTTATAGTTTTCAAGATACAAGGTTTAATAGTAAGTATAAAGAAGTTAAAGGGCAATAACTCATATAAGGGGTCATCAGATTCTTTGCACTTATACAGTGAAGTTTGGTCTAAAGACCCTTAAGACATTAGTGAAGGTTTGGTGTAGTCTAAGGTCTACAGTTTCGGAGGAGTAGCGATAACAAGGTTTTTCGCACAAGGGGCAATAACTTTTAAAAGGTTTTATCTTAGGGGACAAGAATGAAATCTTTGAAACAGTTTTGAGAGTACATATTAATGATGCATTGGCATTAAGTATATGTTGAAAGACAAAAGAGATACAAAAAAAGCTAATTTTCTCATTTTTGGAATGACCTTGACCTTTGACCTTTACATGAATTTTAAGGTCAAAGGTCAATGAATAATATGCAGTTGGTCCCATGTCTCTATGACTTCTTGTTATGAAATTTTTTAATTATTTAAAATTAAAAAAGTTTCAGGGGCAATAACTCATTGAAGGGGTCACGGAATACTTTTGCAATGAATAGATTGAAGAGTCCCCATAATTAGTCGAAAACATTCGTAAAGGTTTCATACCTCTGCGGTTTACGGTTTCTGAGGAGTAGCGATAACAAGCATTTCTTGTGAAAGGGGCAATAACTTCGAAAGCGGTCAAGGTTCATTTACGCAGGGTCAACTGCAAGCATCTTTTACGGAGTACATTCTTATAGACTATAAATCTTTTCGATAAAACTTGAAACAAAAAATCACACGGCGGAAAAATAATAAAAAAGGACTAGGAGACTTATTGTTCAAAGAACAATAAGAGGTCTTTCCACCTTCTTTGATTTTTTCAACTTTGTTTTATATCTAACTCTTTAAAATTATATTCCATGAACAAAAACAAAAACAAAATTTGCTTAAAAGATAAGAAAAAAATTTGAAAAAAAAATTGGAATGACCTTGACCTTTGACCTTGAAAAAATTTCAAGGTCAAAGGTCAAAGGTCACAATGCAGTTGACCCCATACTTCTACCTCTTATAGTTTTTAAGTTATAAAGTTAAATAATAAGTACGTAGATGTTAAAGGGCGATAATTCATATAAGGGGTAATCAAATCCTTTTCCTTTTATACAGAGAAGTTAGGCCTAAAGACCCTTAAGATATTAGTGAAAGTTTGGTGTCTCTACAGTCTACAGTTTTGGAGTTGTAGCAATAACAAAGTTTTTCACAAAAGGGGCGATAACTTTTAAAAAGTTTAATTTTAGGGGACAAGAGTGAAATCTTTGAAACAGTTTTAAGAGTTCATATTGATGATGCATAGACATTAAGTATATGTTAAAAGACAAAAGAGATACAAAAAGAGCTTAATTTCTCAATTTTGGAATGACCTTGACCTTTGACCTTTACAAGAAATATAAGGTCAAAGGTCAATAAATCTTATGCAGTTGGTCCCATGTCTCTACGACTTCTCTTTTTTAAAATTTTTAATTATTTGTAAAATTCAAAAAGTTTCAGGGGCAATAACTCATTGAAGGGGTTAGCGAATGCTTTTGCAATGAATAGATTGAAGAGTTTTCTTAATTAGTCGAAGACATTGGTGAAGGTTTCATACCTCTGCGGTTTACGGTTTCTGAGGAGTAGCGATAACAAGCTCTTCATACAAAAGGGGTCGTAACTCCGAAAGGGGTCAAGGTTCATTTACGCAGGGTGAACTGCAATAATATTTTACGGAGTACATTCTTATGGACTATAAATCTTTTCGATAAATCTTCAAACAAAAAAACATGCGGCGGAAAAATAATAAAAAAAAACTAGGAGACTTATTGTTCAAAGAACAATAAGAGGTCTTTCCAGCTTTTTAAGTGTTTCCGTGTCATTTGGGTTGAAAAAAAGAAGAAAAACGCCAATAAAAAAAAAAAAAAAAAAAATTAAAAAGTGCTGCCAGCAGGATTCGAACTGTGGACCCTCAGATTGCAAGGCGAACGCTCTATGCACTACGCCACAGGCTCCGATGAAGTTGGTTTCCGTAAACTAACAGTGTAGAAAAAAAGAAGAAATGAAAACACGTGGATTTAAATAAAAATAGAAACGCGTGAAGTTTTAAATAGTACAGAAACACGTGTATTTATTTGTTTGTGATGGAACATAGGGAGGAATAATGAATAGTTCTAAGAAAAACGATTGGTGGATATTGAAAATGGAGATTTCCTGTAAAAAAAAAACATTCGAGTTTGTTTATAGTTTGAATAGATTGAGTTAATCATACAGAGCTTAAGATACATTCGAACTTCCGTGTCGGCACTGTGTTTACAATTTGTGAAAATATAGGCGCGTTTGTTTTGACAGATATGGTGAACTCATAGGTTAGATTAAATAATCATCTCTATTTGGATTGAATTAATAGTTATGAGCATAAATTAAACTTGAAACATGCATTTCATGAAGAAAACGGTGTCAGCGAGAGCGTGGAAATTTATTTGATAGGAAAAATCCCTATTTTCGAGATTCATCCGATTAATATTAAATCTAAATAAATTTCAAATAAATTCCACATTCTAAAGAGAGCAAGAATACTTGGTATTAAAATGTCGTATTAGAGCAGGAGAATCAAATGCTATTAACAAAAACTGAAGAAATAGCCAAGGCAAGCTTTAATTAATTTTTATGCTCATCAGCACTTATATTTTAGACAGAAAAAAAAATGTAGTTTTCGCCGATATTGAATAGAATTTCATTATACTTAAGAGACTCACCGTAAAACTCTCAGGACACTTTCTTTGAAGTGTCTTCTACATTTTAATCTGAATTTCATGTCGATGTGTGATCTCCTTTAAGCTGTACAAAATTTGTTTACGTCACTATTGATTTTTTTTTTTGAGAAAGAAGGGGGGGGGAATATAAGCATTTGTTTAAGAGAGAGTTGTAAATACCTCCAAGACCTTAAGCTTGATTGTGACCTTTGGGTCAATGGGGTCAAAGGTCAAGGTCATTCATCAAGGTCAAAGGTCAAGGTCATCCAAAAAAAAAATCCACTTACAGACTTGAGTTTTACACTTGAAGCTGAATCTAGGTAAAGGTTATGAATACATGTATACCTTTTTAACTTTTGAGAAAAGGTCAAGGTCTAAGGTCAAGGTCAAATATCAAGGTCAAAGGTCAAGGTCATTTTATTAAAAACCCGTAAATAAGCAATTTTGATACTTCCCAATGACCTTGACCTTTGACCTTGACCTAATCTTCAAGGTCAAAGGTCAAAAGATCTGATGCAGTTGGACACATGTCTTTACGACTTGTCGTTAAGAAGTTTTTACTTCTTCGTAAACATCATAAACTTGCAGGGGCAATAACTACTTAAAACGGTTTACGAATTCTTTCGCACTAATAGAATGAGAAGTGTACTAAATTAGTCGCAGACATTGTTGAAGGTTTTGTACCTCTACGGTTTACGGTTTCGGAGGAGTAGCGATAACAAGGGTTTACACTGAAAGGGGCACTAACTTTTAGAGGGTTCAGTCTTAGGGGACAAGCATGGAATCTCTGAAATGGGTTTAAGAGTACATACTAAAAATACAAAGATGTTTAGAATTTGGTTAAGAACAAAAGAGCTATAAAAAATGCTTAATTTTACATATTTTGAATGACCTTGACCTTTGACCTTGACCTAGATTTTAAGGTCAAAGGTCAACAAATCTTTTGCAGTTGGTCCCATGTCTCTACGCCTTGTCGTTTAAGAAAAGATCTTGATATTCGTAAACGTTGCAAACATTCAGGGGCAATAATTCAATATAGGAGTTTACGAATCCTTTCGCAATGTTTGATTGGAGAGTCTACTAAATCAGTCGTAAACATTAATAAAGGTTTGGAATCTCTGCAGTTTATGGTTTTGGAGGAGTAGCGATAACAAGCTTTTATTGCGAAAGGGGTCGTAACTCCGAAAGGGGTCAAAGCTCATATACGCAGGGTCAACTGCTAAAATCTTTTACGGAGTACATTCTTGTCGACTAAAAATCTTTTCGATAAATCTTGAAACTCAAAATCACACGGCGGAAAAATAATAAAAAAGAAAAAAAAAACAGAAGAAAATCAATAGGTCTTTCCAGAGAAAGCTGGAAAGACCTAATAAACAGAAGAATATCAATAGGTCTTTCCACAGAAAGGTGGAAAGACCTAAAAAGAAGAAACAGAAGGAAATCAATAGGTCTTTCCACAGAAAGGTGGAAAGACCTAATAATAGGAAACATAAGAAAAACAGTAAGGTCTTCCGAAGGAAGTTGGAAGACCTAAATAAGTATGATATAAACAAATGCTGATGTTTACCTGGTGCCGTTTAACCAACATCATGGTTTCCTTCACCTCTTCACCCCTCCTTACTTTAGGAAACCAAGGAAAGCTCCAGGCAGACCACGGGCCATTAAGGAAGACCCAGTGACAGGAATTAAACCACCAGCCTCCTGCACGAGCACCATTTTCAGCAGTTTTTTGTATTCCTGTCGTTATCTGTCTCCGGAGTACTGAAGTACATCCCTGACAGATCGAAGTTATCGGGATGACCAGTATCTAACATGCTGTCACCTGTAGAATGACAGAAAATATATGATAGAGATATATGTAAGGGATAAATAACTCGATAGCGTTGAATAGTTTAGAGAAAACATTCTCTCCGAGGGCCGAAGGCCCGAGGAGTGGATATTTTCTCTAAACTATTTAACGCTATCGAGTTATTTATCTTACTTTAAAAAATTCCCTACTTTTGACCCCAAAGAAACATTTACCCATTCAAATATCCAACGTGCTCTAATACAATAGGATGTAGCCCATTTAAATATCCAATCGTGACACAAAACAATAGCCTGATCGAACACCCCTTTAATTCATGGACTAGTGAGCATGAAACTACAAGGTTCTGATTTCATTTCAACCCTTTTCATTGTACTGAACAGTCATAAAATCAGACGAAGAATATTTTTAAATCAGATCGGATCCCCCTGACTGAATTTGTGGAATCATTAAATGTATACATGTATACTGAAACAAATAAAATATGCCAATATGGATATAAAGATTTGATTGCTTATTCTTTATTATGTGTGTAAAAGATTCTTTTTATATGAAATATTTATCACTGTAATGATGATTTTATGAGTTTGTACAAGCCAGACTTCATAAAGTTTTCATTTCACATGCTGAATATTACATGTATCATTTAGTAAAAAAAAATATTTCGGAAAAAAAGGAAATGGATCGTTCGCGATTCGAACCCTGGACTTCTCACATGTGAGGCGAGAGACATACCACTACAACACGGAACCTCTTTAAACTGGTAAAAATTATATGTATATAAAAAAGATGAAGTCACATACATGTACACGTTCGATGTTTTCAAAAGTTTACAAAAGGCATGGTGTCTAATTTAACCATTATTAAACAGTTCTAATACCCCGGTAGATGTAATTAGAATATAAAGTCCGCCTAGAACCTCTTTTATACGTAACTCTCCTCATGCCCCTGTGCTAAAAATAGCGACAAGTAATACAATAAATACTTATAAAACGGGGCGGGACACTTTGATAGGGGTGAGAGAGGTCCTAGGGAGTAGTATAAAATTTTAGTTTTAGTATAAAATTACATTGCAAAAGCTCAAAAACTTCTTGAAATATCGCCCGGAAAGGCAAGTGTTGCACACAGAGAGAATGTATAAACTTACGACCTTGAACTTTGACCTTTTGACTTCAAAATCGATAGAGGTCTTTCTTTGGCCAAAGGGAGTTGTTATTTTAAATTTCATTGCAAAAGCTCAAAGGGTTCTCGATATATCGCGCGGAAACGAAAATGTTATAACAGAGAGAATTTGCGAAGTTATGACCTTGACCTTTAACCTTTTGACCTCAAAATCAATAGGGTTCTTTTTTACTCCATAGGAAGTTGCTTTGCAAAATTTCATTGTGAAAACTCAAAGGGTTCTCGAGATATCGTAGGGAAACGAAAGCGTTACAGACAAACAGAAAGACGGACAGCTGGACGGACGGACAGACCCATATTAATGTCCCCAACTTTTTAAGCGGTGACAAAAATACTAGTATAATCCGATAGGTGCTTTGGAATTAAATATAAATTAACAACTAGTAATTTTATTTTTTTCAAAAGTAACATTAAACATTTTAACAAAAGAACAGAAAACACACTGACTTTAATAACTACACTAGATATGATCAGGTATAATGGGGGGAAAAGCATACCCTGTTCACTGGTCACATCCGCCGTCAGATTTTTATCACGATTACTGAGTAGGCATTCCACAGAAAATAATGACATGACCATATTTCACAGCTGAATGGAATTTTGCACTTGTGTTGGAAAATATTCTTTTTTATTGATTTGACAAAAAAGTGGTTTTGATACTATAACATGTATCAAAAAAAAATTAATAAATTCGTGATTGTAACAATAAATAATTTTTTCTCCTCCTTCCCATATCTTTTCTCTCTTTCTTTTTTCTCTCCCCTTTTCTCTTTTGAGCTACGTATTACGTACCTAAGGTTCCCGTGGCAAGTCCTGCAAGAAAGAGTTGATATTTCTCTGTTTCATTGGCGACCGAGAATTGACCGTATTTTTCATACAGAGTTGTACCATCCAGTAGAGTGATGGATACGTAAAGGGATGAGATCTTTTCTTTTGATAATTGATGGATTATGTCATTTCCTGTATAAAGGTATATTTGAAATTTAACGAAAAGTCCATTGCAATATAGTTATTCTTTTTTGAACATGAATATATATACATTAATGTAAAGTCAAATTATTTTTTCTTTATCTGTAGACATTGATGTTAATTTTGGTCTCATGAAGCCATTCCGCTAAGTGATTTGTCCTCTTGCTTTCATTTTTTTTCTTATTACTTAAGATATCGATTAAACACGATAACTGGGTATCGTCAAACACATATATGTACTGCACAGTCCTAAAACCAGATCTTTGGTACGCTTCAATTTTTTATCTGCATAATAAAGAATTTTTGTCAAACTAGATACTAGTATATACATTCACCAACCCAGATATCCTGTTCTGGTGTACCAAAACCATTCTTGTATTCTGTCCAGTTCCTGACAAAGTTCAGTGATCCATTAACGCGTTTCTGAATTGCCTTTTAAAATTAACAGGTAAAGCAAAGGTATTTTTTGTTTCGAAAAATAGTGTGAACAGTATGTTATGATACAAATTTAAAATACTCATTTTTTTATGCTGCATTTTTCAACAAATACTCTTATTTTTAATTGTATTATGTATTGTTAATTTTGAAATAATATAATTTTAGTTGTAACACGTCATTTAATTGGATGAAGATTTAAACAATTTTGTATAACATAACTTGCCTACGTCATGAGTTACATCAAAAAGGTATTACTCCGCTTGACGTTACTTTTAAAGTATGTTAAATTTGAAGTGTATTTCCAGAGGAAAATTGTCTCATTGTCTTCACTGAAATTAAATCATAAGGAATGAAGCTTATCTCAGCTATAACAAAAGTTTAAATAGCTTCATTTCTTAAGTAACACTTAAATTGCCTTGGCCTGTCAGTAAAGTTTTAACATAAAGTAGAGTAAAGTACATACCGTCCATCCCCCGCCCATTGTGTGCATATCACAGTACACTCTGACAGGACTGGTAATGGTGCCATAGGGATAGATTTCGTACACCCCTGATCTGGTGTGTCCATCTGTATGAAGTTCCTTACAATCAATGGGGATATCTAAAGCAGAAAAATCAAAACAAAACAAACTAACAATCTACAGGAATATCTAAAGCAGAAAAATCTTACAAATTCACAATATATGCGAATATCTAAAGTGGAAAAAAACTAATAATCTACATGAATATCTGAAGTGGAGAAAACTAATAATTTACAGGAATATCTAAAGCAGAAAAAATAATAATCTACATGAATATCTGGAAAAAAGTCTTAGAATCCTATAATGTATAATACAGGTAAAGAGAAGGTACATTTTCACCTAAAATCATTTTAATGTTTTAAGCATTTCAAATTTTTAATCTCTGATATGGTAAAGAGTATTTGTTGTAAAAAAAAAAGTCCAGTCAATCCCAAAACACAATTGATAATTTAAGCGTAATTTGTAATTCTAATTTGAAGGATTATTAAAGAGGAGTACATTTCTAAATGATGTGCCACATAGAGAGTAAAGAGAACTAATAATACAGTCTGCCGTTATGTGGGATGCTGGCTGACTTCTCTAAGACAGATTGTAAGGCCTTTTACACAATGAATTTTCCAAGAACTGAGCGGAGCTGAAAGGAATACAGAAAACCCATACGAATCCATGGAGCAGGAGTCCAGTCACAGTGTTCAGTACAGTTATTGCAAGCTAGAGAAAACATTTTCGAGTTACTAGCTTAAAGTGCTCTTTTTTTTGTAGTGAATTACAAACTATCAGTACATGTATTTAGAATAAATACGATGGAAAAATACAATTATTTATACTATATATAAAGCAATCTTGTGTCGAGAAAAAATTGTATCGCGCAAAGTTAATATTAATAAACTTTTTCGACCTAAAAAGTAGTGCGATAAAAACCGATGATCTGTTAATAGTTTTTCTGTGATTTGTGTCAAAGGAGGAAACAATAATTATACATACAACCATTAGAGTAGTATCTCCAACCGGCCTCAATATACATATCAGAAGTGAAAGTCTTCTTGTGGGTACGGCAGTTACTCATTTGAGAATTAAATCCAAAGAATTGACACTCCCCATGACAGAGAGCTGCACACTCGATCAACGATGTAGAATTGTATTCTTTTAAAAGTTCGTTATTTGATTTTTTATCATCAAATTGTAGTTTTGCAATGTATTTCCGAGAAATAATAGTAGACTGAGACACCGCAAAAAACACAAAAATTAAATAGATAGCCCAACGATCTCCCATTTCGTAATTTGTATATAAAAGAGCTAACTGCTGCGTACCTGTTAGAATTTGCTATGGTATACCAAACGTCAAATATAAATGTCAAAACGTATATCAGTTACTTAAAAAATATTGGCTAATTGTTACGTACGCCTAATGTTATAATTTTTAGGTCACTCAGGTGACCTATTGCTATCACTTTTCGTCCGTCGTCGTTCGTCGTGCGTTAACATTTGAACATTTTCAGCCTCTTCTCTGAAACCACTAAACCAATTTCAACCAAATTTGGCATATAGCATCTATGGATAAAGGGGAACAAAAATTATGAATTTCATGGTCCCTGCCCCCCGGCCCTGGGGCCTGGGGGGGGGCAAAAACCACTGAAATTAGTGCAATCTTTAAAAAATCTTCTTCTTTACTCCTGGACAGCAAGCAGTCAAACTGTTTGCATGATTGTAATCAGCATTGAGTCCTCTACCAAAATTGTGAAATTCATGGCCCCGGGATCATGGGTTCTAGTGCTAGGGCGGGGCTAAATAAGTATATAGTGAAAATACATTATTTCTTTGAAAATCTTCTTCTCTGCTACTGGGTATTAAATAAACCTACTAAGTACATAGTTATGATGAGCAAGAGTGCCTCTTCCAAAATTGTGAATTTTATGGCCCCAGGGTCAGGGGTTCTGGTGTTAGGGTGGGGCTCTATAGATAGTGAAATTACATGAATTCTTTGAAAATCTTCGCTGCTCCTGGGTATTAAATAAACTAACTAAGTGCATAGTTATGATGAGCAAGAGTGCCTCTTCCAAAATTGTGAATTTTATGGCCCCAGGGGTTCTGGTGTTTGGGCAAGGATCTATTGATTATATTGAAAATACATGAATTCTTTGAAAAAAATTCTTTTCTGCTCCTAGGAATGAAATAAACTAATTACATAGTTATGATGAGCAAGAATACCTCGTCCAAAATTGTGAATTTATGGCCCTAGGGTCATGGGTTCTAGTGATAGGGTGGGGCTCTATTGATTATGTTGTGAAAATACATTAAATCTTTGAAAGTTTTCTTCTCTGCTCCTTGGTATTAAGCAGATAAACTACCTATATAGTTTTGATGAGCAAGGGTCCTAATCTTCCAGAATTGTAAATTTCAAGGACCCAGGGTCAGGGGTACCATAAAGGAGGGGGGCTGTACATATATACTGAAACTGGATGAATTGTTTGAAATCTGCTCCTTGGTATTAATCAAATATTTTTGAAAAGCAAGGGTGCCTTTTCAAAATGTGTGGATCTAGGCCTAAGGGTCAGGGGTTCATGTGTGATTGGGGCATTACTGATCATGCTGAATATTACTGATTACTTGAAATGCATTTTTCCCCCTACCCTGCCTATGGGTATTAAGTAAACAAACTAAGCAACTGCTAAGTATATTGTTATGATGATCAATGGTGCCTCTTTCAAAATTGTGAATGCCATAGCATCTGGATTAAAACATGAATCAAATTCAATCACTGGAAAGTTGATGCATAATGCCCAGGTGACCTATAAGGCCCATGGGCCTCTTGTTAATTATCGATTTTGTGGCATTCAATATGAATTGTCATTACCATCTACGTTTCAATTGCAATTCCAAATATCACAAAGAAAAAATGTTGCTTTTGATAATTAGTGTATATCTTTTATGTAAAACCTCTACCATGTTAATTTGATCAACTGCCTTTAAATTATCGAATTTCAATCTCTTTATTCTTTTTTGTTCCCGCTTTCATAACAAAAATCATACGTTTTGTTTTAACACGTTTGTTTCCGCTCTATATCTCAAGAATTTTGAATTTTGCAATGATATTTTATACATGTAACATAACTGCCTATGGTACCACCAGCTCCTCTTGAAATATCCCCATCGACCCCCCTCCCTACTCCACCCCCCCCCCCCCCCGATCCGCACATGCTCTTTAATTTTCCTTAGTTGGTGTTGATATTCTCCGAATTAGCTTGTTCAATTAAAAGGCATCTAACTCTAAATATAATTAAGCCCCCAAATGTCGGTGTAACACGTTAAACCATCAGTGATATACATGAATATAATTTTGAATTTTTTTCTTTTGAATGTTTGACTTTCCCAACTCCTTTGACTTGTAAGTACAAAGAATAGTCAGGGTATTCCGCAATTTGAGATTTTCTTTTGCAATTTGTACAAATGTCCCTAAACCATGAAAGTTTTTCTGTTTTAGGCAGGAATCCGGAACAATCCCTGTGGACATGTAATGAGAATATAACCTAACAAATAACATAAATATGTTTATTGTGAGACAAATTCGATCCAAAGATAGGATGTACTTGTGTACACATAGAGGAATCTTAAATGGAATTCAGTGACATTCCAATGGGATTGTTAACAGAAAGCTTTAAAACGTCTTTATTTAAACGTTTTTAACGTTCCACAATATCATTTGTATATCTTTTGTATTTTAATTCCCCCCCTTAATTGGGCTAGCTTTTTTTTTTTTGCTTGTTAAGAAATTTATGGGTTGGATTTTTTTGGGGGGAATGGGGTGCCCTCCCCCCCCCCCCCCCCCCCCCCCCGGGAGAAATTTCTGATTCCGCCTCTGTCATTAAATCATATGCATTTCACAATAAAAATGAGTTACCATACAAAGTGTAAAACGTCGAATTTGTGACAACTTTGCCTTAAACCAGGCTGAAAAAAGTGAGCTCCCTCCTTATTTTTTGTTTCGTCAAAAGACATTAAAACTATTCAGATGAACAGGGTCTAAATAGCTTGACACATGGCAATATTATTTCAAAAGTTTGAAATCTAATATTAATGTCTAAAGCTTTTGTTGCTTTGTGATTTTGTTGTTTAACAGACAGACACAACACTGGCAAATGTAACAGGATTAAATCTTATAAATCTAATTAATGTACATTGGAAGTTTTCTTTTTGAAATGAGGACAAACAGAGTTTATGATGTTTTTGTCCCCATAGAATAGACTTGATTTGTTGGCAAATAAACAAGTCGGTAATATATAATTTTTTAACAGAAATATTAAAATTTAGTATAGATATATTTTAAATTTTAAAATCAGAAATAATGAGTTATTTTTTCCCCACTTGATTAGTAGTAGTAGGGCGTTTGCTTTTCCCTAGGTAATTTTTTATAAAATTCTACTTTACCGCAATATAAACAAAACAAAAGTAATATCTGCACAGTTCCTTGTTTACAAGAGACAAAAGTAGACTAAAGAAGAATGCAGTAAACTTTACATCCAGTTTTGGACTTACCTCCAGCAACAGCTCCGTGACTGCGATCAAGATACAAAGTATACAAAAACTGAGCTGTTCCATAAGAGTTGTGAACTAAATATGCAGCGTAAAGTCTAGACCAATATCCCAAGGATAAATAGCAGTCACTGTGATGGTTCTTTAAAATCAGAGCCATATTCTTTAACAAATGAGATGTAAAATTCAATGCAAGCATTTAAGCTCCATTCGAATGATTCTTTCTCATATTGGTAGAAGCTATTAGGCTATTAAGTGAGATGTGTTTAGAAGATGTAGAACTATTACTTTTTAAATTTCAGAATTTTTCATAGTTTTAAGATTTTTTGACCGTTGGTCAATTTTTCATTTTTTTTTTTTTTTTTTTTTTTTGAAAAATTTAAAAAAAAAACTTCATTTTTTGCAATTGCTAGCTTTGAAAAGAAAAGAAAAACATTAAAAATGATTGTACTTTTACCATGAATTCCGTGGAGTCATTATAATCATGTTAATGTTTGTGCGGTTCAATGTTCGTTGACAATAAAAAATTTTCTTGTTCATAAGTATGTATTTTTTTGGATTATAACTCATTAATAATGTAAATTCAATCAATCAATATGTTAACAAAAATTAATGTTCATGGAGATGTAAATTCATGGGGTAAAATGACTCGTGAAATCCACCATCATTGGTTTCCAAGAAGATTGCACCTGCATGCTCAAATTTGAGAGTGATAAGAATAAATATGTATACATATTTAATACAATCTTTAATGCATATTTTATTTACAGCTGTGAATAAAATAAGCAAATCCTTAACAACAAAAAGGTCAAGCTTTGGAGAGTCAGATAAATTCATTTTTCAATGTCAATTTTTTTACAAACAAACCTTAAACTGTTAAGTCTGTGTATTCTCTCATTTCACTTAGTTCTTTTGCCAGGGATTCTTTGAGATTCTTTGAGTATATCAACTTGTTTTCTCTTCAAATGTTTGTTGGAGTCATTTCAAAAATGAATAAATAGCAATTAGTATAGAGTAATAGCATTATCATGACTGTACTTGTTTTTCAGGTAAATTAAACTGTCTTTTAAAGAACAAGGTTCACTTTTGCCTTATTAGGGCCACTGTAAATTTCTGAAAAACTGAATACTACATAGTTTTTGTTAACAATGCATTGAATATCACTTAGGTATTTGGTGACTGCGCATCTATCAAAATGACGTAATTTTCTGGCTAGTCAATGCATTATGACCTCAAGAAATGCGTCAGTTTCCTCATATTTTGAAAAAGTCTACAAAATAGGCCACTTTTTAAAGCTATTTTTCTATATTTAATATAGAGTGCAACCTTTGATCTAAAATATGCAACTAGTAAATGATAGAACTGTGTCTGAGGATTGAATTACATGTTTTATTTTTTTAGATCAGAGAGTGCGCTCAAATTATTTTTCTTCACTGAAAGTACGCAATTGTACCCGTTTACCTAAAAATTCAAGAACATTGCAAGTTTATAAAGCCAGTTCTCCGAGACCTGGACGTTTATAAGAAAATTCTTAATAGGATACGAAAACACGAAGTCTCTATTTTATTGTAATGCTTCATATGAAAAAACCAAGTGTCAATCAATCAATTGGTATATCTACAGAGCCATTTTATGCATCAAGTGAACCGATTCTTTTTAATTTGTAAATAAAATTGATCTAGTGATCTTACCATAGTAATTGTAAGTTTGTGAAAATTCTTAAGATACTGCATAAAAGATAATTGTATTTCTTTTATTTGAGAATTCTCCAAGCATGAGCATAACTATGTGTGTGCAGGCTGGATGTTACCCCATATTTCAAGCAGAACATTTTCTCTGTGAATGTATAGGATTGCCAAACATCTCAACATCCAGGGTAAGGTTGTTATACACCTGGGGATAATACAAGGAAATACATTTTTTCAGAATTAAAATTAGAAGCATTGAAGTATTGCTTAGGTATAAATTATGAGTACTTTCTGTTATTAAAAAACACAGACGCATTTACATACCAGTCCTGTTTATCCCCTTGCAGTACTGACCATAGGATAGATGCCATTTCATGAATATTCTGTTCAAATAAAAAGAATGTTTAGTTTTTATTTGCCTTGCAATAAATTAATAACGTTGCACTTATTAACCCTTGATGACCATTTGAGTCTTTGCTCTTTTAAACAAAAAAATGAAATGCAATGTACAGTATGTAGCCAGTGAAGGCCTACATAATTTAGCTGTGCGATGATTGTAATGTAAAAATAAAAAATAACAAATTATAGCCATAAGCATTCATATCATATACTTATTCCATTTGAATGTAGTGTTTGTGTTAGTACAAAAATGTCATTTGTAAACAATACTTTGTTATTGTACTATCTTTGTCATTTAGGCATGTTACACTCAATATTTCTTAGAGAGTTTCCATAAATGTATATTTTTTACAGAATTTAATTACCCAAGATTCAGATAAACCTTTCTCCCTGTTGTGTCAGCTCGATTAAAGATCAAATCAGCCCCTTGGTTTAGCTCCATCCTTCAAGTTCGAAGAACACGTCCATTTGTTTACCTTGTTACAAGCACCGCGCTGATTAAAGCGTTTACGTAACCATCTCTAGTACACCAGCGACATCTGACGTCAAAATGACGAATGACTCCTACTCTGGGAGAATTTTAATTACTTTGAAACAAAATACTTTTAAAAAAAATAATCTTTTTTACATTGTTAATTTTTTAGCATTATGTTTTTTGTCAGTTTAAAAAAAAATCATTTTTAAAATCATTTAAAAAAAAAACATTTAAAATGATTTCAAAATTTATTCGGAAAACATTCGGAAGTCATTTGGAAGTTTGTTCAAGTATAAACAAAATCATTTTCATTTGTTTGAACATAGTCTATTTTTATTTATATGTCAAATTAAGCTAATTGATATATTCATCGCCTTTTAACATGCAATTTAATTACAGATAATATATTAAACACAATATTTCACGTTCGTGCAAAAATTCATAAAAAGTTCATATTCATTTTTGTTTTGATATGTAGTGATCAAATTTCCTTTGGTATTCACGCCCTTTGTCACCTCTCCTTATCCAAAAAAACATTTTCGCAACTACTCCATACATTTCTGGAAACTCCTTTGAAAGGATCTCAACTGCTGACATATAATTATATATAGGATATATACAACCATCCAGAAGAGAGATATCGTATACATGGATATAAAAATGAAATAATCTGGATTTCAGGTTCCTCTTCATAGATTCTTGCTGGGCTATTATATCCTTCCGTAGCTCAGGATCCTCTATTTCTTCGGTTTTAATAGATTCGTCAGAAATTGCACGACTTAAGCAAAGAATGGCTGCATCAATGGCAACAGTGGCTAAACTTACATTTTCCATTTCATACTGGGAAAAACTCAGGTCATAAAAAAAGGACGCCAACAAAGAAAAGTCTCGCG